TGGCAACAAATATTTCCCAGAGTACAAATGGTCTAATGTAGGTAAATACGTTCACATGGCAGATACTATGAAGAGTAAAACAAAATAGTAGTTTTTAAAATATGAGACTATTAAATTTAATTGTAGGCTTAAAAATTAAGTTTCATTGCCCGCAAATAATTTTAATAAAACTTATATCTCTTTCATTGAATCTTAAGAAAGCAAAAACAAGAACAGAATAAGACATTCATATTAAGTGACAAAAGGAAAAGTTCCCAGTGCCAGGAGCTATTTGATATTTGAATACGTTACCAAGAGACGGTATGAAGTTTCTGAAACTTTAAGGGGAAAAAAAATGACACCAGTTTGCAACCGCTTAGTGTAACTTAAGTATAAATCCCGTAGGTAAAATCCCCTGGCTGAGGTGGCTGGGGGGCGAAGCTGACCCTCGGGTCTACTCGAGGGCACTGGGGCAGGAGATTTTTGCCACTGGTGAAATGGCAAAGAATAAATACTGTGCTTACAATCTGCAAGTATCATGGTGCAATCAGCTGTGGTTATTTCTCAAGGCTCTTTTTGCACAAGTTAGTACTTGATCGGTTCATCATCTCGTCCATCAGCCTTCTTTCTCACACGTCTCTCTTTCTTGTTTCTTTATCACTCCAGAAAGGACATGCTGAAATGTCCATAAAGAGAATGTTCTGGAATGAATACCAGGCAGTGTGGGGTTAGAAGGCCAGGACTGGGAAGCAGGGGTGGGGTCAGAAAGTGCAGGGAGCCTGGCTCCTCACATACCTATCCCCAGAGTGGATTCCAACCCGTAGCCCAAGGCTGAATATCCCAAAGGAATAAGCTGAAACTTTTCTTTTTCTCTTGATTGTTCATGGCTAATGATAAATTCAAAAATCAAAGCAAGGGAAAATTAAGAGAATTCACTGGATAATTTATAAATAGATGATGAAAGCACAAACACGCATTTGTGCCCAGACTGTCCACCTCCCTGAGTGGAGATTATCTGGGCCTGCATGGAATTCTTGCCTGCATGAAAATCACTGATAGATAAATATTGGCACAATACAGTGTTCTGTTCTAACCGTCTAAATATTCCATGACACTCAACATTTCTGCCTTGCAGGGTGGCTTTGAGAGACACCCTGAAATGAGGCGATGAACACAGAAGTTCTCCCTAGACTATGAAGCGCTTTATAAGTGAAGCAATGAACTTTTACAGACCAACATTGTTATGGAAGATTTTCATTCTTTAACGAAATGACCATTCTTGCACATGCGTGATTCTTTGTCATGAGTAAGAACAGAACTTGTGTGTATTAGTCTGTTCTCACATTGCTAGTAAAGACATATCTGAGACTGGGTGATTTATAAAGAAAAAGAGGTTGAACAGACTCACAGCTTCACATGGCTGCGGATGCCTCATAATCATGGCAGAAGGTGAAGGAGGAACAGAGGCACATCTTACATGGCGGCAAGCAAGAAAGCGTGTGCAGGGGAATCGCCCTTCATCAAACCATCAGGCTTATTCGCCATCATGAGAACAGCATAGAAAAACCCACCCCATGATTCAATTATCTCCATCTGCTCCCTCCCGTAACATGTGGAGATTATTTTTATTTTTATTTTTTATTGCATTTTGGGTTTGGGGGTACATTTAAAGAACATGCAAGATAGTTGCATAGGTACAAAACCATTCAGGACATAGTCGTAGGCAAGGACTTCATGACCAAAACACCAAAGCATTGGCAACAAAAGCCAAAATAGACAAATGGGACCTAATCAAACTCCACAGCTTCTGCACAGCAAAAGAAACAATCATTAGAGTGAATCGGCAACCAAGAGATTGGGAAAAAATTTTTGCAGTTTACCCGTCGGACAAAGGGCTGATATCCAGAATTTACGAAGAACAAAAACAGATTTACAAGAAAAAAAACAAGCCCATTCAAAAGTGGACAAAGGACATGTAGAGATTATTACCATTCGAGGTGAGATTTAGGTGGAGACACAGAGCCAAACCACATCACTGTGGTTTTTACCTGAACAGGCAGCATCGTTTACAAGAGCTTGATTTTTCAGGTGAGAAAGTTAGCGCAGTTCCTTCTTCTGCCTGAGGTTTAGCTGCTCCTTGGGAGTACCCGGGCTTCCCTAACCACAACAAAATGCACACGGCTGTGGAAAGGGCAGCATTGATTTTTCTCAGCCACCCCACCCTCCTGACCATGGAGACCGCAGTATCCATTTCCCAGCCTCCTCTTGCATCTGAATGCTTGGATTAGTCACCTGCAACCTCAGATGCTGGGCGAAAACCCAGGAGACACCAGAGCCCTTCTAGCCGACATCTCTCCATGGCTCAAGAGCAGAAGCTGCAGGAAATGCAAGCCCTGGGTGCGAACATCGCCATGCAGTATGCACCTCCTAATGCCACTTCCAATGGGAAACTGATCCAGACCATGCTGGGCAGTGCCACAGCCCGTTTGTTCTCTGATCCTTCCATCTCCTGCCTCCCTGGGCACCTGGGGTTAGCACCACACTCCTTAGGCTCCTGTCTCTTCTTCAAAGGGTGAAATGTGGCCACACACTGATCCACGTGACTTCTTAATTCCCCTCTGGGGCATCCTTTTCTTCAACAGATGTTTTCAAAATAATTAAGTGATGGGGATCATGCATTATTGAAAACGCTGGATGCCTCCCTAATGTTCTTCACATTTGTATATTTGTCAGCACAAAATTGAGTGCTTGGAAATGTTGTGCTTATTTATTTTTTAAATTACTGAACACACTCATCCTAGCCAACTGAGGAGAGGGGAGCAGCAGCTGAGCAAGCTCTCTGGTTCCTGCAGACATTCCACAATCAGTGGTTTGGGCCATCATGAAGTCCTGCAGGATTTGGGAGCAAGGAACCCTTTAAAAGACTATTCAACTGATTACCCACCCATAACATAATCCCCCAAATTGGAGCTATTTATTTATTTATTTTAAAAATTTCAGGAATTTTACCTTCTCTCTTGGTAACCATTTTCCAATGATAAATAGCTCTTGGTCTAAGAAAATGTCCTTTTTCCTAGAAATATCCGTTCGGTGTCTAGAATCTTAAAGTCCGGTTCACCTGCACCCCTTACTGTTGCCTTGGAACTTGCTCGGGGCACATATGACATTTCCGGACCACTTGGTCTTAGATCTGATTGTTATCTTCACCTAGGCAATGCAAAAATCTCAGTGTTTTCGACGCCCGTGTTTCCAACATTACAGACATGGTAACAATTCTGAGAAACATATGAGTCTATGGTATTAAAATGAATTTGTAATTTTCATGTGATTCTAGATTGTTATCTCCCTTTGTGAGCATATTTTTGGGTGTCATTGGTATTTATTGTTAGAAAATATTTGAACTGGGTGCTGTAAGCCTGGGCTGACATCCTGCAGGTTTTCACTCCATGTCTCAGATCTGCTTGGGAGACACTCTCCAAGGTCACAAGTGACCGAATGTGTCTTAGGATAAGATGCTTTCAACAAGGTGGCAGATTCTCATGCCCATAAGAGCTGCTCAGATAAAAGCATGTCTTTCTAAAAGGAAATTTTCTGGAAAAATGTTGTTCCAGAATGCCTTGGCTTTCAAGCTAAAAATTTGCTTATTTACATTTTCCACAAATATTTACAGAGTAGTCACCTTGTTGCAGGGTCTGTAAATTCAGCCATAAATGTGACAAAAGACCGCCCAGTTTTCATGGAGCTTAAACAGTTGGGAAAGGGGTAAATCAGCAGTGTCTTAAGGCGTGTCCAGGTCTCCTGACAACTGCATGCATGCACACGTGTCACTTCCTGGCAATCGTATTCCCAATTCCTCCATGCCAAGTTGGCAATTGACCCTGTTTTCTGGGACTCACAGGGAGGTCAGAATAGAAGCCTGGGTTCAGGGCTGCTGGCTAATGACAGTGTTCTCCGTAGGAGATGGGGCAAGCAGGAAAATGACCTCATGTACCATTTCGCCCCGCCCACCCACGAAGCACCAAGGCCAGTGCCAGAACCTGTCCACGATTCCCAAGTGGGATTCGCGAGGAGGTGTCAAACAACATGGTAGAGGATCTTGGGCTCTAGTTGGACGAGACAGAGGAAGAAGGAAGAGGAGGATATTTAAAATACACAATCAAAAGAAAAATAGTACATATTTCTCTTTGATATTAAAACAGCATTTTGGTAATTTTTGACAAATGACTTTTAAAAAATCACCATTTAACGCCGTATGCTTTTAAGAGCCTTTGGATATTAAAAATAAGGGAATTTTTTTATTCTTGACTGAAATGTGGTGTCATGAAAGTGGCACAGTCAATCAAAATCCTTTCAAATAGGAAGTCTAAAACTGATGTTTTAACATGTTTGGATTGGCAAGATTTAGAAAAATTATTCTGGTGAAAAATCAATGATGACAGAACTGTGCCAGGGAAGATGGAGTACATTCTTCCTATTTCTTTCTCTAAAAATAACTAAAAACTTTGGACGTTAATAGGAAACAAATACGTAATGACTCTGGAAGGGGGAAAGATGACAGACTGGCTGGAAAACCTGGGACCCAGGGAACAACACAGTGATGAATTACCTGAGTTTTCTTTCTGCCTCAGAAATCCTAGACTTGATGCTAAAGTTAGCAACTCAGAAATTCCAGCAGGTGCAGAAAAACCATGCAAGACAGCACTCTCTGAAGACATAGGCCCAGAAAGGAGTAGCCTAGCAAGACAGAAAACTTTAGACAATAACCACACTTCTCCCTGCCAAATGCCACATAAAAAACACGGCTTCACCAAACCCACACCAGCCAGGGCCAGTGGCGCACTTAGATGTCCACCCCCATGATGCTGTAGTGAAGCATCCCAACATCCCAGCCAGGTAGTGGCAGAGAAGGCCAAGTAGGGAGGCTAGATTTTCTTCATCACTGGGCAATAACCAGGCCACCCCACCCAAGATCAGGGGACCACATGAGGAGCCTGAGCTTCCACCCAAGCAACGGTAATGAGGTATACACCCTTGCTTCTGGGTGGGGGACCAAGTAGAGAATCAGGAATTTTACAACTGCTTAGTAGCAGTGAGGCTACTCCACCAGTGAGTCAATGAAGCCCACATGAGAAGGCAGAGTGCCCAGCCCAGCTTGCAGGAAGAAGAACCACTCCCTTGCGATGCCAAAGGAGGTTATTGGGAATTTGAACATTCAGCCCCACATCCTTCCCCTGTTGAGGTGTGCCAGAGAATATCCGTTAAATTAATTGGTATAAAGAAGATCCTGCATTTCATAAAAGAATGTAAAAATATTATGGTTTCAGTTAAAAATCACTCACTGTACTGTAAACCAAAGATGTCATTGATGTTAAAATTATCTGACAAAAACTCAAAGCAGCCATGAATGAAAGGGGCTTTGGGGAAACATATGACCACACTTGAAGCAAAAGCAGAAAATGAGAAAATCTCAGGAAACGAATAGAAGATGTGAAAAAAAAATGGAAATTTAAAATTAAAACTACAAGAATTTTAAAAAGAGTTTACTTGACACTAGAACAGAGAAAATAGAAATGGCAAATTTGTAAATAGAATAATAGAAACCACCCAATTTGAATAGCTGAGAGCAAATGGATAGAAAAAAAAAAAGTTATCAGAGCCTCAGGGGTATTTACGACAATGATTTTTTTTAAACTAACTTTGTGTCAGAGAGCCACAAAAGGAAAGCAGAAAGAGAAGGAGCTGAAAAAGTGCTCTAAGAAATAACGGCTGAAAATTTCCCAAAGATGACAAAAGACAGAAAACTTTTGGTTACAAAAGATAAGCAAAACTTTCTCAAAATAAAATTTGCAAAGAATACAATTTCCCAAATTTATACCAAGACACATCATAGACAAGTTTCTGAAAACTAATGACAATTAAAGTCTTGAAAGAGAAGCAATATCCTACTTAGGTAAAAAAATGGTTCAAATTACAGCAGATTTCTCAAAGGAAACTATGGACATCAGTAGGAAGTGGCACAACACTCTTGCCACTGGAAGAAAAGAACAATTAGCTCAGAATCACAACCAAGTGAGAATCTCTGAGGAATAAAGGGTATATCTAGACACTCACAGATGAACAAAAGTTAAGAAAAAAATTTGCATCAGCTGTTATACCTAAAATAATGGCTAAAGAAATTTATTTAAACAAAAAGAAAATTATAAACAAAAAAATCCTGGAATATCAGAAATAAAAAGGAAGCTTAGAAGAGTTGAAATTATGGGTAAATGAAATCAGTTTTTCTTCTTCTTGAATTTTACATATTATGTTTGATAACTGAAACAAAAATTTTAGCAGCATTTGATTTACTTCTAAATATTTGCATAGAAATATTTAAAATTATTGATAAACAAGGAGGGTAAAATGACATGAAAATAAGTAAGGTCTCTATATCTCACTCAGACTGGTGAAATGTTGTCACAAGTTGACTGAAAATTATGAACATATAATGTAATACCTAGAGCACCACCTAAAATGCTATACAAAGAAATACTCTAAAAAATTATAGGTATAGCAAAACTAAATTTGAAAAAAAAAAGTTCAAGCAACTGATAGGATAAAGAAATAGAAATGAAAAAGAGAAAGGACACAAAGAAAACAAATAAGAACATAAATTTTAATTGCCAATACATTAATAAATGTATTAAATATAAATGGTCTAATATCACTTAAAAGACAGAGATTGACCAAATGGATTTTTTTTTTTTAATGACAACCATATCCAGGGTTGTGGCTCTTGCCTGTAAGCCTAGAACTTTGGGAGGCTGGGGTAAGCAGATTGCTTGAGTCTGGGGGTTTCGAACCAGCCTGGGAAACATGACAAAATCCAGTCTCTACAAAAATAAAAAATTACCCATATGTGGCAAACACCTGTGGTCCCAGCTTCTCGGGATACTGAGGTGAGAGGATCACCTGAGCCCAAAGAGGCAGAGGCTGCAGTGAGCCATGATCATGTCACTGTACCCCACCCTGGGTGACAGGGCAAGACCCTGTCACAAGTCATACATACATACATACATGCATACATACATACACACATAATTAAAAAGACAACTATGACTCAACTATATACTGCCCACAAAAAACCTCACTTCAAATTTAACAATAAAGGCAGACTGAAAGTAAAAGAATGGTTTAACATGGTTTAATGCAAGATCTATTATAATCCTAGCAAGTTTTTTTGTAGATATAGACAATATTACTCCAAAAATTGTATAGAAATAAAAAAGAACTAGAAGAGTTAAAAATTATGAAAAAGAAGAATAAAGTGAGAAGAACCAATCTAACAGGTTTTAAGACTGATTTTATAGCTACAGGAATGATGACCGTGTGACATGGGCGGATTAATGGTCACACAAATTTAGGGAACAGAATAGAGAACCAAAAAATAGACTCACACAAATGTGCCCAATTTATTTGTGACAAAACTCCAAAAGCAATTCAAGAGGAGACTCTTTCAACAAGGGATACTGGGGGCACTTGGGCATCCACAGGTCAAAAAAAGAAAAAAAACCTGAACTAAACCTTACGATTTATAAAAAAATAACTCAAAATAGATCACAGGCTCCAATATAAACTGTAAAATCATGCAACCTTTGGAAAAAATCATAGGAGAAAATTTTGAAATAGATGTTTGACACCAAATATGATCCACAGAAAAGAAAATTGATAAATAGGACTTCATTAAAATTTAAAACCTTCACTGTATGTGAACAATGTTAAAATATAAAATGGCAAGCTACACACTAGGAGAAAATATTTGGAAACCACGTGGCCATCTCAGGCCAATATCTAGATTACACGAAGAACTTTCAAAATACTTTTTAGACTCAAGTAGAAAATGAAAAAAAGACATGAACAAACAATATACAGATGGCAAAAAGTCAAGCAAAAATATTGTCAACATTATTAGGGATTAGGGAAATGCAAATTGAACCAAAACGAGACATCATTACACAGCATTCAGAATTGCTAAAATTAAAAAAGAAAAAAACAGTGACAAGGATGTGGAACAGCTAAATCATTTGCACATAGCAAGTGAGAATGTAAAACGGTACAGTCGTTCTGAAAGACAGTTTTGTAGTTTCTTAGGGAAATATGTGTCAACCTAAATAACAAATAACAAAGAGAGAGAGGCTCTTTAAAAGAAATGATATTATTCAGGAATAGGACAGCAGTGGGAAACCCTGCCACAGCAAACAATGTGTGTATTCAGGGAGGTCAAAGAAGACAAAAGTTTTTAAAGGGAAATTGAGGAGGATTACGTAATTGTCTGGTAACAGTTACCCGTGGATACAGGTATCAAAAACAAGAGGGGCTCCAGGCCAAGGCTGGCAAGGCAGTTGCACACCAGATGTTCTTCCAGGAATTGTGTGTGTGTGCGTGTGTGTGTGCATATGTGTGTTCATGTGCATGTGTGTGTGTGGGGGGGGGTTGCAATGGCCTTTGTGCAAGGTTCTGCTTTGTGCCATTTTTTCATGATAGGCCTTGTCATCAGTCATTTATGTCTGAGAATCCTCTCTCCATGGGCTTTTCTGGCTCTATTTGTCAGGGCATGTTTGTTTGTTTGAACAAAAGTGACTCCATTTTGACTCTGACAGCTTTCACACATGCAACTACCATTTGACCCAGCAAGTGCACTGCACGCCTGGGTAATTATGCCAAAAAAATTAAAATGTCTATTCATAGCAGCTTTGGCATAACAGCCAGAAACTGGAAAAAAAAGCAGGTGTCCTTCAATGGGTGAACGGTTAAACAAATGGGTCCGTCCACATCATGGAATACTGCTCAGCCATAAAAAGGAATAAACTATTCACCCACTCAGCCACATCAGTGAGTCTCCCAAGAATTATGCTGAGTGGAAAAAAAAAAAAAAACATTTCACAAGATTACATGCTGTGTGATTACATTTACATATTAAATTATAGAAGCTGAGAAGAGGTTGGTGGTTGCCAGGGGTGGGGACATCAAAGGGTGAGAGGGAGATTCTTCTGCCATGGCAAGTTCTGAGCCTGGAGTGTATCCATGTCGGGTTCCTGTCTGTTACACTGTACTACAGTGTTGCAAGACGTTATCATTGAGGGAAACTGGAGTATGTGGGATCTTACTTTATTATTTCCTGCAAACCAGGGGAAGCTTCCAGGTTCTCGAAATGTTTTAAATAATTGAAAAAACAAAGAACAACATAGAAGCTATACCTGTTTCCTCATTTTGAAAGGATGTAGAATTAAGCCAATTATTTATACTTTTATTTCATAGGTATGTACATATGTAATATATACATCATAGCAGATAGAAAGGGTTTTATGTTTACCCTCATTGGAGTATGGAATAAATAGAAGCTGCTTATCTTTCAAAGTCAAAACTTCTGTGAGCAACATAAAGTTGGGCACTTCCTGCAGTTGCTTCCATTAATTTTTACATTAATGTGTTCTTAGATAATTGTCTTGTTTGCCTAGAAGGAGCCAAAAGAAAGGCAGAAAAAGTGTAATAAAAAAAGTAAATGAAGATACATCCAAAAAGGAATACGTAAGACCTGCGAAGATATTGCCACGTGGTCTAAACAGCAGAATGGCCTAAGACGTGTGAATGTGTGACCGGGGAGGCACGGGCCTTGTGGGTCACTTGTTTCTGTTTGGAATACGTGGAGCGGGAGGGCAGCCAGGCCCAGGTGCCTGACGGAAACCGTGTGAAGTCACTCGCAGAGAGATGGTGGGAGGAAAGGAGCCCTCTGCCTGTGGCTCCCACGTTCTTCAGCAGGTGAGAAGCTGTGTGCTCTCCTTGCCCAGGAACAGTGCCCTTATTGAAGTGCTGAGATGATTCCGGGAGGGATCATCCTACTCTGCTGTCACTTCCCTTTGTCTCTGACATCACAGCTACTGGTTCTTCCGAGCCAAGCCGTCAGCCCCACTCCAAGGGTCCCCACATTCCATAAACAGCAGAGCAAGTCTCCTTGGCACACATCAGTTTATGGAGTGAAAACATTTGTTTGAT